TACATTTGGATGCCAAGAACTAATGCACTGTGATTCTTCAATAGATCTGCAATCATAGAGGAATTCTGTGGCTACAGATGGTTGCTGAAAATTTTTTTATGGAATATAAGATTTGATACATCTTGAGGAGACCCACTATAGAAAAAACCTAGCCCATTTTATTTTATTTTTGCAAGTGGATAGAGCAAATGGGTTTATTTTATTTTGTTTTTGCAAGTGGATAGGGCCAGTGGATTTATTTTATTTTATTTGCGCAAGTGGATATGACCAAATTAGATCAGGTTTTTTAAGTGATTTTAGGCACACTATTTTGGCCAAAAAAAAAAAAGCTTTGGCACTAGTATGAAAATCATAGTAAAGAGTGATTCAGACCAAAGATGTAAAATTGAATGTGATGATGAAACAGAAAGGTGCCAATATGTCATGACTTGATTTTCTCCATTTTCTTGTCCCTGGTGATGAATTAATGTTTAATGACAATGCTTCTTTAACAGAAATACAGAACTCAAGAATTGATAAGCCAGCAGGCTTGCATTTCTGGATTCACTCCGATGGGAACATTCTCAAATTTTGATGGCAGATTCCAGTCTTCCTTCCCATTTCAGAGCCAAGGTTATCCAGGTAAGTGAAAATGTGAAGGTTCAAGCTTAAGTATATTTGATATTTATTACCATAATGTCAACTCCTTTCTCTTTTAACTTATCTCAGAACACCGTTTACTATGATACATACCAAAAAAAAAAAAATACTAACTTCCATTGTAATACAATTGAAGTATTACCCCAGTCCTTAATATAAGACACATTAACTAATTTGGAAAGATAAAAAAATTAAATAAATGACTTTATTATAGCATATGTTACTTAATCTCTCTGAATATTTGAGTATCATTAGATTATATATATTAGTTTATAAATAAGATAAATTAGTTTAGAAAAAAAATGATAGATATAAATACTTTAAAGTAATTTATTTAACTTTCTTAATCTCTCTAAATAAATCAACTAGGTCTTATATTAAGAACTAAAAGTAGTACTAAAGTCAAAGCGATACTGAGATGAAAATATGCACTGGGCTCACTTGCCCTCTTCTTCCCTACTTCCTTGCTATCTTATCCACTTTTACTGAGTCAAGATTAAGTATTGAAGAGCCCAATTAGGAATAGTTTGTTCCTTTTATTCCTCTTCATCTTTCTTATTTTATAAGTACTTCTCTAGTCCTAAATATAAAAGTTATTTTATTACACTACAAAATGAGTTTTATATTGAAGATCGGAAGAGTATTTGACAAGCTTCTAAGTTGAAAAGATTAATAGAAAGGCGGAAAGGGCTAGACAACATTTCCCATCACATTACAGTTAACGTATAACAACTGATAAATTAAATAACTAAATTTTCTTCAGGTTTTCCTATATCAATTGCAGCACTTGGTGGGAGCCAAAATCAAAACCAGTGTTCAATGATTTTCACTGAAACTCAAGGATTGGACATGCCACAAATGGAAGAAGTGTCACTAATTCCAGATGAATTTGCAACAGCATTGAGCAATTATGGAAGCCAAAACCGAGAAGCTGAAGTGAGACAACCTATACCAGATGCTTCAATGGATCAAAACAACCCATGAGAGCACATGATCCTATGAAAATGCTTGAGGAAGATTATGACGAACATGAGTATTCTCAAAATGGAGTACTTTCACATCAAATTGATCAATACTGTGAGATGCTAAGGAACACTCTTCTAAGAAATAATAGCCCTCATCATCCTCAAGAGCCTGATTTATGAATTCCCAGCAGATCATGAGATCATTCTCTATCCGTTTACCAGATTCCCACATGCTTGTTTTCATGTATTTCATTTCATCATCTGTACAAAACCCCCCTAAACTTTATCTTATATGTAAATAATCTTTCTAACTTCTGAAACTTTGCAATTAACTTACGTGGACTTTTACATTTATTTAGATAACTCTAAAGCTGCTAGGTTTGTTTATTATATATCTGCAAAAGTGCAAATGGCTTAAAGTTTAAAAGGTTCATCTGTATATACCTCAAAATTTAAAAGGATTATATGCATAGAAAAATAAAATTTAAGGGTAAAATTGATTTTTTTAGGTTATCTGCATAAACTCGAAAGATTAGGAGTTTTATTATTACGTTGTAAAGGTTAAAGAGATTATTTATACATGTTCAAGTTCAAGAAAGTTTTATATAATTTAAATTTATAATTTTTACTATTTGTTATTTTTTTCAGGGAACTATGAGATACTAAATTTCTTGCAAACCGTTTGTTTAGGTTTGGTTGTAGTCTGAACCTTCACTGTTGATAGTAGACCACTTCAATTGCTGTATATAGAATCATGCTGTCTTCACAACTGTGCTGTATGAAATCAAAGTGTCAAAAGTTTTAGAGCATGATGAGTAAAGATATTAGCAAATTAGGTCCTCTAGAGTTTTTTTTTTTAAGACAAAATATATATTCTCATAAACCTTTGTAATAATGTGATGATCCACATTTTTTATTTATTCCATTTATGTATTTTTGTGTTGAAGAAGAAAGAATAAAGTTCTTGCAAGTATTTCATCTTAGCATTTATCCTATAATTTTTAGAATATTCAAATATTAATTTTTTTTTTGCTTTTTGATAAGTTAGTTATTGATTATATATATAATTATATATTTGTATACATATCTTGGTACCTATGTTTTAAAATTTTGAAAATCATCTTATCTTATGCAATTTGTAAAGGATGGATGTGTACTTTCTTCATATATCAAGATATATCTTGGCATTTAAGTAAACTAATTGTTTAGTTTGCTCTTATATTTAAGACTAGATATAATATATTAAGACATCTTACATACCACTTCGGTCCTAGACATAAGTCACTTACAGGAAAAGTTTTTGTTCTAAATATAAGTTACATATGGTGTATTTAATGCTTGTTTTCTAATTTCATCCTTGTTTAATTCTCATTGAATAGATATAAAGAAATGAGAGATATGAGAACGGGTTTATAAATGAAGAGAAAAAGATAAAAGATTAATAAGGATAAATTTAGAAAATTTTGTTAATTTAATACATTTCAAAATATGCGAAAATATATCACAAGTAACTTCTATTAAATACGATAATGGTATAATGATATCACCTTCTATAGTGAAATTTGTAGACAGAAGAACACAGTTATTTTTGGGTGACCAAAGGAAAAGGAACACAGTGTTTGTCCCGGATATTTGGTGAAAAAAAAAAGTGAAAAAAAATAAGTTAGAAAAATCATCTTATGAATGTTTCTTTTGTTTTTTTTTTTGGTTAATCTTATGAATGTTTTTTGATTTGTTTTTGTGCCTAACCTAGCGTTGGGTCTGATTTGGCATTGGACCAATGTTTCTTTGGTCAGCCCAGTTGACCCGACATGTTTGACCAAATGTCTGACCCGATTTGATAAATCACCCGCATTGCCAGGTAGATTCCCTTTCACTTCCTTAATTGCCCCTCCATTGTGTTAAATATAACTATTTATGTTTATTTTATTATTGTCAATATATCACATGGCTCAAACTATACTGAAGAAAGAAGAAAACATCTGTTCACAGTTTATGTTATTTTACCACGTGGCACGTTAAAAAGATTCAGAAAAAATAAATGGTTTGATTTGATGCAGTTAAGGGATTATTGAGATGATGACAATTGAGGGAAATCGGGAGGAGGGGAGGGCAGAAGAGGAAATATGATGACTTAGATTTTTTTAAAAAATAGAGAAATGGAATTGAAAATTTTTAATTAACTTTTGTGCTCTTTTATCTTAGATATTTTTTATTAAAATTTTATGATCCCATTTTTTCCAATTTTATAATATGTTGATTTCGGTTAACCTAAGGTGATTTTAGTTGAAATCGATTTTATGAAAATTTACTGATGTTCTGCATTGACCCCTTCTCAAACTCAAATGACTGAATTTACTGGTGATTTTAGTCCTTTGATGCATATATTATTACACTGCAGTTCATGGTCAAATAAAGCATCTTCCTTGATTACTCATCCAACATACACAACACAGCTCCTAAATATGTATATCGTAATTACATACCTCACATACTGAGAAAATTTGGTTGAAGTTAGTCTTTCTAATTAAATGTGTTCTAAATTAATTTTCCCCAAATTTTGCCCTAGATGTCTTTTTTTAAAAAATGAATATATGTCATTTCAGTATTAATAAAGTAATGCCCCTCCTCTCACTTATTGGTTTTCCTCAATGATGAGTTGTTTTCTTATACAACAATAACAAGTCTTATCCCATTAGATAGGATCGGCTACATGAATCACATGACATCATTGTACTCTATCAACAACCTAGTCCTTAGATATGTTGTTGACCAGGAGGGTTGTGTTAGGCCCTCCACAACCAATGTACAAACCCGTCGAATTTCATGAACATTGTTTTCTTACATAGAAAAAAAAAATAGTTTAAGTCTTGAAAACTTATTAAGGTCAGAACATACTTCCAAACTTAGAGAAAACTTACAGAGATATTTATAAATTGTCCATCAACAAAACCCTCATATTGGTAACGAGATTTAAACTTACAATCTTACAAATTATGATCTAATTCTTTATTAACTAGATGAACTTTTTTTGGCTTTTTGCTTTTCCTCAGCTATACAAGGGTGACATTTTTTTCCAAAAGGAAAAAAAAAAAAGAATTATATTTGAGATCCGAGAAAGTAGTGTTGATTCTATGGACTACCTATCCTTTCACAGCATGTCCTACACAATTATCATTACTATTGCAAGTCTAAAATTTTAAAAATTGCAACTGCTACTAAAAGGGTTTACTCTTTCTTACCTCTTGAGTACAAATGACACAAACAATTTTCAATTGTATATTTTAATTACTTTGTTGAAAAGTGAAATGACCATTAATATTTTTAGTTTTGTCTATCATAATACTTCTCTTAAAAGTATATTATAATCTGCTATAGAAGATCAAATTCATCATTTTGGTTGGAAACAATATAAAGTATCCAGATCAAAGATCAAGAACATAAATTGAGCTGCACAAATAATACCTCTATCTTGCACTCGTTTAATTTTCTCACAACTTCTGAAACTTTTACAAGGTTGGATCTGAACACCAATTACAAAGTTTAAAACAGTGTTTAGATAACTAACAAAAATCATACACTGCTCACTCTATAATCATCTCGGAAAGTATCCTATCTAAACTGAGGAAATGAGCATCAGCATATATCAATTTCAATTCTTCCAGAAAGCTACAGAGGCAGAAATCTGCAATGAAATTCACAAACCCTATAACTTTTTACAGACTACGCACATGTGATCTTTTCCCAATCACCCATAGACTAAAGTCCTTGTCTCCTTGCATTTTGTGATCCATCAAATATAGGAGTTGAATCCCAGTTATTGCCTCGAGCAACATGACCATCTTGTTGAGGTGGAATACTTACAATATGCATCTCACCAGGTTGTGGGCTGATAATGTCATTGTTCATAGACGAGACTTGAGCACCATTTTGTGATTCAGCCAACATCTGAAAATATGCGTAAGGGCCCCAACCTAGACGCAGAAATATATGAAAATGATGAATATTAGAAAGTCCTGAACGAATATCTCAAAAGCCGGACCCTCGGAGAAGACATGATGGAAAACAAGATTATATATACTTCAGGTTAAACAACTAGCAAGGCGTTGATACAGAATCCAAACTTGCATAATCCTAAGCAACAATATGTATGAACATTAATTATTTGATGGAATGTTTAAAACACGTGCTGCTATGAACACCACAAAATTTTTTCAATCTTTTGACAATAACATTAAGCTAAATGCCTAAATGAAAGCCAGACAGGCTAAAGGTACCATTAACAGTTGATCATGCCAAAAAAGGACCGGCATAATTAAGCTCAAAGAAACACGTCCAGATGCAAAACAAATGCTAATCACATCAGTCCTTCAAAGTTTCAGCACTCCAAGGAACTTTAAATATAAAAAGCAAACATAAACACACGGCTACAAGGAATCCCCTTTCGGGGCAACAAAGCGTGCTTTCAAACTTGAACTGATACTCCTACTGATATAGTTTTATGAAAAATTATAAACATAATTAAAGAGGTTATATATGCCAGGAGAAGAGGTAAAGTGTAAACTATTCAACAGAAATCCAGAATCACAATCATAGCTTATAGCCAAAATCATATAGCAGCTCCTCCACATCTTAAAGAAGATGCTAGAAGCGACTTCCATGATTATTGAATTAAAATTGAGAAAACATTCAGCAATATTAGCATGTTGATATCACATTTACTTGCTTTTATTTAGGCCTTCAGCTTTGTCAAGGTTATTTCAACTCACAAGAAATGAAAGATTACAATTGGTTTTTACAAATGTAGTCAAAGGATCGTTCCATCGTGCATTTTATTAAAGTTTTAACTTGAACAGAAAGTATGGGAACAACAACGATTGAACTCTTGTCCACTCAAACTTGAAGGCTTCAATACCATTTCAGGATAATTTCAAGCCAAGCCTTAAGCGACTAAGACAAGTTTCATGATCAGTTTTATTACCATGTCTAAAGCCTAAGCTCAAAGCATGGTTAACATGT